CAGTCCCTCACCCCTGGTTGGCTGCTCTTACGGCCCATCCCCCCTCCTCCCACTGGTCAACTTCCCACAGCCCCTTCCCCTGACCAGTCCGGCCTTGATGGGCCCCGATTTGGGGCAGGGCTGGATGGCCAACCTCCCATGGTCCCTTCCCCCTGGCTTGCCGGCCCCTATTGGCCCCAATTGCTGGCCAGGCCGAGGGACCCCACCCATGCATGAATTCGTGCACCGGGCTTCTAGTGTCATTATAAAACAGAGACAAAAGTACTCTCTATTGTGTGTGTGAAAGTAGCTTTTCAACTGATAGTTGTACACCAAGCACTGAGGGAAACCACATCAGAGAGGCTCGGGAGAGAGATTTCAAGAATATGAAACTTGATGGAGTACCTACTATGTTTGAACATGTTGAGAGGATATATACACAAATGGGGAAACGATGGAGAAAAGTAAGCAAGTATAGAATAACATTTATTAACTCTAGAAAAAAAACAGGTTATGCAGGGAACTACATGTTTTAGCTGTGAATATTATTTACATAATAAAAATAGTGAAAATTAATTACTAAAAGAAAATACTGTATATTGATCTAACTAAAATTATGATATGATTCTATTGGCACATTTGTGTTTGTGGAAGGTGTATAAATATGTGCTGGAACATGCTTAATCATTATCTGGCTATAAATATGATAGCAATGTAAGTACAATAAATATTGATAGAATCAGTTAAATTAATTCAAAAGCATTGTCTTCAGGGAGTAGAAAAGGAATGCGAATGGCAGAAGATTGCTGTCATTTGTAATGAGCCTTATAGAAAATTTCTCCTTATGCTATGTGGACATATAAGTTTAGTAAGAAGCTTTTTAAAAAGCACAAACAAAAGAAAAAAGATCATGGGCTTCAAAACACATAGATAGACCTCATTTTACCTTCTAACTTCATCAGCCCTCTGAGGCTCATTTGCTCGTGTACAAGGATAATAATGATTATTTATCACAGTACATTTGACCCTTAAACATGGGTTTGATCTACTTGGGTCTACTTAATATGCACATTTTTTGCAATAAATGCATATAGTACTGTAGATATATTTTCTCATGATTTTCTTAACACTTTCCTCTAGCTTACTTCATTGTAATAATACAGTATATAATACATGTAACAAAAATTATGTGTTAATAAACTGTTATCAGTAAGGCTTCCAGTCAACAGTGGGCTATTGGTAGGTAGTTAAGTTTTTGGGGAATCAAAAGTTATGCACGATTTTCATCTGCACATGGGGTGGATGCCCTTAACATTGTTCAAGGATCATCTGTAGTTGTGAAAATTACACCTGTTATATATAAAACATGATACCTGGCTTCTATTAGATGTTCAAAAAAATTTATTAACTCAGTGAATATATGAAGGAACAAACTAATGTACAAATAAGTCTCCTAGTTTGGGGTTAAGATAATTGATATATAGTCAGTAAATGTGAGCTGTTATTATCTCAAGGTGTTGCCTTGATCTATATATATTAAGAGCCAGGGTCTGTAACATCCAAAACGACCGAAGGCTTGACCAAACACCAGGTGGGGTTGGGCGGGGCGGGGCCAGGTGGGCGTGGTGAGGTAGCCTCCGGCCTGGGCGCCCTGCTGCCTCAGTGGTTGACTCCAGCAGGACCTGGGCCCTCCCCTCTGTGGACCAGAGGCCCTTTTCCTTGTACCATGTTCCCAGGATCTCTCAGACCCATTTATGGAAGTCAGGAAACACTGCGTGTGGTCATCTGGCCCTGGGGACTCTAAGGATTGACAGCAAGGGTGGGCTTCTGTGGAGTCCCCTCTGTTATGTAATCCAGGATCCCTACATCCTAATATTGACCCTGGCAGGACTTCACCGGTCCTCTGTGTATCTGAGGTCCCGCTCCCTATACCAACGCCCCTGAGTCTCTGAGACCCGGATGCAGAAATTGCCTGTTGTCATCATCCCACCCTGGGGATTCCCAGGGCTTACACCGGGGGTGGGCCTTGGTGCTGTTGCCTCTGTTGTGGTATATAGAGTCCCATTACTGTTTCCTTGGGTCCTCACCTTGACTCTGGCAGGACTTGGGCCGGTCCTCTATGTATCTGAGGTCCTGCTCCCTATACCAAAACCCCTGAGTCTCTGAGACCCAGATGCAGAAATCGCCTATTGTCATCATCCCGCTCTTGGTGGGATGATTCTATTTTAGGGTCCAGGGTCCCTCCCTCCTCCCTCATGTTCCTCACATTGAGCTCTGGAAGGTCCTGGGATCCTCCCTCTGTTGACCCAAGGCCGGACTCCTCAGATCAAGGCCTCACTGCCCTGAGTCCTCGGCAGGAAGTCAGTGTACCTCACATCCGGTACCAAGCCCAGCAATTCCAAAGCCTGATGGCAGGGGCTGAGATGCATTCCATAGGGTCTTTTAACCCTCCCTCTGATCCTTACTTTGACAGGGCATGGGTCTCCTGTCCTCTATGACTCTGAGTCTGCAATCCTCAGACAAAGGGTCTGACTACCCGAGTTCCCTGAAGAGGTGGGGTAGGGGGAGGTGCAGCTTTCAACATAAAAACAGGAAGCCCAACTTTGGGAATTTAAATTCCTGCCTCATTCACCTTATACTGTTAAACTCCAAATCTAGATACTATACCTACTATGATCACCCCCAAGATTTTAAACTAAGCTAAGATAACCAGTTGAGCAACTCTATTCATTAAAGACAGCCTAAAGGCTATGATTTCAACCTTGAAAACAGAAAGCTGGGTGAGCCACATGGACAGTGGAAAAAGGGGGATGAGATAGAAAATTTCTCTGGTAGTAGCCAAGAAGTGAATGGTTTTTAAGAGCAATGCTCTATCCACAGAGCCAAACCGGTTTCGGCTTGAAAAGATTTTAGGTAAATCTTATAAAAACTAGCTAATGGTGAAGGATGAGAAAGAACAATGAACCACTGAAATTGGTGGGCTAGGGAAACATTTGGAGGAAGCATCATCTCCCTACCATATGACCCATCAGAATTGAAGATGGGGTCAATAAGTTTGAGAAGGCTTAGGAGTGCTAAAGAAATGCCCCCTTTCTCTTACCAAAGCATCTTGGCCTCCTCACCCCTCCCTAGGGAAGTGTCAGGATGGTGCTTTATGATGTCTGAATTTCCCAGAGCTACCATTAATTAGCTGAAGGGGAGGCTTCCTGATTCATTAAAGCCTAGAGGGTGTGGCCCCTCATTTTCCTAGAGAAAAACGTATGTTCAGGAGATGGGTAGGGCTCTGGGAAATTTTGACATGGTGAAGAAGACCGGGAAACCACAAAACTCCTAGCACAGTTATGTAACAACCAACCCCATTCACCAAAAGAAGGCAAAGGAGGAAGAAGCCCTGTTAACCCAGGTCCAGTGTCCAGGATGAAAGGACCACACCCAAACTTCTCCTCCTCTTTAGTGGCATCTCCCCAAGACTCCCTGGTCTTGCCTGGCAGATTCCATCCGCAACCCAGACTTTTTCTCATGAAGACTTTTTTCCCTTTCATTTCAGCCATTTCCCCACAAACCAATGTCCTTCTGTGCTCACTCTGTTGTCCTTCCAGGTACTAAAGACATTCATGGGGGTGAAAAGATGTCTTTAAGGGAGTTCAAGGAAAGGAGCCTTTCCAAAAATTCTTACCCCTTCAAGAAAACCTACGAAAGCTATAAAGCCAACAATGTGTGGTCATCATCACAGGCCACATGAGGAACTGAATAAAAACAATCTAAGACAATGTAGAAAAATTCACCACCTCAAGTGACAACTTGGGCAGCCAGTAACTTCAGAGCTAGGCCAAAGACCTCAGAACTATCTATGAAGTCTCTGAAGTCTGGCCCCCAAGAAATGCTGACAGGGGGGCGGGGCTGAGGCAGAGGCGGTTGGGGGTGATCAGGCCAGGAGGGGAGGGCAGTTGGGGGTGATCAGGCCAGCAGGGGGAGCAGTTGGAGGCGATCAGGCACGCAGGCAGGTGAGTGGTTAAGAGCCAGCGGTCCTGGATTGCGAGAGGGATGTCCGACTGCCAGTTTAGGGCCTAAACTGGTAGTTGGACATCCACCGAGGGGTCCCAGATTGGAGAGGGTACAGGTCGGACTGAGGGACACCCTCCTGCCCCCCACCCCCCGCATGAATTTTGTGCACCAGGCCACTAGTTTATGTGATAAAAGAATATGTCATTGTGAAGAATGAGGCAATATAGCACAGTAGGTGTGATTTGCAATTTTGTCACTCACTAGGTGTGCATCCTTGGGAAAGGTACCTACTGGTTAAGCTTTCAGTTTTTCACCTGTAAAATGGTTATAATAGTTTGAAAGTACGCTTGTTGTAATAATTGTAACAAGTAATCCTATACAAGCACTTAGTACTGTGCCTGGAGCAAGATAACAACTCAAGTTAAGTGGTGGCTTTTTTAAATAATATTGATGACTCATGAATATAAAAGAGTAACATTAAGTCCTTTGTTACATAATGGTAAGAGGAAAGATTCAAAATTATATCTGTATCATGATTACAAGATGTGAAAATAGATATGCATATGGATAAATACTGGAAGGAAATTACCCCCAAAATGTAAACTAATGTGTTTTAGAGTGATGGCATATCAGTGATTTTTTTAAAGTATTTTAGTTCTTGTTAAGTTATCTATACATTAAATCCTAGCTAGAAGAAGGACAAGAATGAAGATATAACCACTTTAAGAATTAGAAAACCTGAGTTGGAATCCTAGTTCCACTGCTTTGTAGCCATTTATTTTAGGAAATTATTTAATGTCTAGGTCTTATTATTTCTGTATTCTAGGTGCAGAAAATATTTACCTTTCAGATAAAATTTAAATGTGAAATTAAAAATTAAGTATGATTAAATTTACATGTGAATATTAAATGAACTAAGGTATACTTACAGTATTGCTTAAAATGGTTACAAATATTATCACTGGAACTGGCTGATTACCATTTTGACCTTTATTTTATTTAATTTTTCTAAATAGACCTCAGAAAGCGAGGATGAGATTCTGGGCCAAAGGGAAACAAGGGGAGAAGAAGACCACCAGGGTGAAACCTGCCACCCAGTCGGAGGTTTTACCGCTCTTGGCTGGCTCAGATATGATTCCAGTGCATCAGTTTCCAGATGGTAAAAATGGACAAAGGGGGAGATTGTCTTTGTAATTCCTATTTACTCTTTCTGAAAGTTTGCTATTTTTCTAATATCGTAACAGCAATCCTGTTGGCTACATTTTCTACTGAGATAGGACCAGGATTATGAAATCCTTCGTTAACTAAAAGATAATTATGTGGTACAAAATGGTGAAGCAACAACTACTTTAAGAATGATTGAATCTTTGGTTAGCCTCATTTTTTTAAAGTGTTAAAATTTAGTCCTCATACACTCACAAATATATATTAGTAAAAATAACAGCAGCTCATATTTGAGTGCTTACTATGTATAAAGCACTGTACTAAGCATGTATGCATTAAATCAGTTGATCCTCACAACTTTTTGAGGTAATATGATTATTATTCTTAATTTATAGATGAGAAAACAGGCACAGAGAAGTTATTTGCTTATATACATATAGTAATTGGCAAAGCTGAAATTTGAATGTAGGCAGTCTAGCACCAGAGTCCACATTCTTAACCACCATGGTGCATATTAAGTAACTACCATATGTCAGTGCCTGGAACTTTATAATGGTAGCTGTTATTTTAACTTTTTGGACATCAATCATAACATATTTGAAAGTACCCAACAGTTAGTTCATCTGTTGAGAACACTGGCTTTTTTTAATGATAGAATTACTAACTCTCTAAGGATTTCAGTAACCCCTCTATTAGATTACCCCATTCTTCCCTTTGCTTAAGCATGTTTTATGGTTTTTTTAATTTTTTTAATTTAGATTATTACAATTGTTCCCCTTTCCCCCCCCATAGCTCCCCCCCACCCGGTTCCCACCCCATCCTCTACCCTTACCCCCCCGCCACTGTCCTCATCCATAGGTGTACGATTTTTGTCCAGTCTCTTCCTGCACCCCCCGCACCCTCTTCCCCCCCGAGAATTATCAGTCCACTCCCTTTCTATGCTCCTGATTCGATTCTATTCACCAGTTAATTCTGTTCATCAGATTTTTTTATTCACTTGATTTTTAGATTCACTTGTTGATAGATACGTGTTTGTTGTCACTTTGTTGTTCATACTTTTTATCTTTACCGTTTTTCTTCCCCTTCTTAAAGAATACCCTTCAACATTTCATATAATACTGGTTTGGTGGTGATGAACTCCTTTAGCTTTTTCTTATCTGTGAAGCTCTGTATGTGTCCTTTGATTCTAAACGATAGCTTTGTTGAATAGATTAATCTTGGTTGTAGGTCCTTGTTTTTTTTTTTTTTTTTCACTTTAAATACTTCTTGCA